TCTGGATACAGCAAACAACCCACATATAGGCAGATGGTAGAATACCTCAGCACGGCGGCTGACTGAAGCTTGTGCATTGTGCTAGCTTTGGGTCTGTGTAGAGGAAATGGGGGGAGGGGGGCGGGGGGCGTTGTCCTTGCAAAGGCGTTGAACGGGCACTTCACTGTTAAGGCATCATGAAAACTGCACTCCTAACATGACGTACGAAGGCTAGTCGCGGCAATGGTGTTGACGCTACTGTTTTCGCCGAGATACTTATTTGTCTCCCCCAGTGTCAAACAAGCAAGTTGTTGGACGTGTTCATCCCAAATTGAAAAGTAGACTGCGCGTGGCCAGCCTAGACAAATTTTGGCATGTTCTTCCCCGCGGGATCAAGTGCTGGAGATAGTGCGTGTCTCGTGCGACAGAGTGAGTTCAATGTCAGTACCTAAAACTGGTAGGTGACCGGACAGGGGACGGATGTTTTACGGTTGCTATCATTGCCGTTCTTGTTCTTCTTGTTCTTGTCGATGGTGATGGCGTTGTCGTCGTCAACTGTTGTGGTCGTCGACGTCGTTGATGTGGTTGTCGGTGGTGGTGGTGGTGGAGGTGTTGGTGGGTGCATGTGTTGCTAGGCTGGTGGTGTATTCAACATTGTTGCCTAGCCTGTTCTCGAATCGACCTGGTGCAGATCAAAGGGTCTTCAGAGTCTCGAACAACGCAAATGACCAGCGATGCCTGGAACACAAACAAGAACCAGGCGGTTGCCACACAGAGAGACGCTTCAACTACTCGGCGAAATTCGATTGAGGAGGAAGAAGCTGTGAGTCGCGCATGCGCACGTCGAAACACTACAAGGCCAAGCAGCAAACAAGATGGGTACGTAGAAATTCAACCCAAAACTGCGATGGGCATGGAGGTGTAAACTTAGACATTCCGCCGGCTAAACACTGGCGAAGAGAAACCTATGTCATCGCCCAGACCAACCGAGCCTTGGACTAGACCACAGCTACAACCCCACTTTCCTTCTTTCCTCTTGGGGGAGCCAGCATGTACGTACTACGCACGTCGACCCAGACACTGAGAGGCACCATCCCCGTCACGATGACTGCAGGCAACGTCGACGTTCGTTCATGAATCGAGGAAAACCGACCTCCTCTCCTCTCCTCTCCCTGGTCCGCACAAAAAACATTGCGACCTGTTTAGCCTTTGTTCGTAGAGCACCCCGACTCTCCTTATTGAACCATGCCTCCCGCCGTTGCTGGGGATACCCAAACGCTTAGCCCTGCTCTGCACCTCCCCAAAAGGCCTTACAAGTTTGTCGAAGGCAAGTACTAGACTACCTCAAACCAGCGGCAATCGCACAAGTGGCCACCATTGATACACGCAACCCATCGTCTCCGTTGCATCCTCTGTTGCGTCGCTTCCTCCTCTTGGTATCACGAAACGCCCTCGAAAAAAAAATCCCCTACTTCATTAGAGTACGATTTTGGTCATACCGGCAACCTACCTGTTTGTTCTTTGTCAACGCAAGATAAGATACGGAGAACGTCATCATCAGCAGCAGTTCACGAAGTAGAAAGTGGTGTGCGATACTCCGGCAACCATGTCTCTTCGCCGACGGACGGAAATTGTTTACTGCAAAACTCTTGAAAATCCTTAACTTGGGGACATCATGGGTCCATGTTTCTCTTTCAGGATCAAAGAGAGCCTTCGTCGTTCCCCCAAACAAATAGCCCTCCCCCCGCATAAACGTTCACGTATTCCCTAAAAAACAGCAACATCTGCTCGGTTTTCACGGTGACGCCCGTTGGTGTTGCAACCGAGCGGCAAAGTTACGACAGCAGCCCGCTGCGACAACAGCTTAGCTCCCCTTCCTCCTCGTTGAGACAAGCTTTGGTACGTGGTAGTAGAAACAGGGGAATGTTTTCGTCCACCAAACTTCCTGGTAGTAGAAACAGGTGAATATTTTCGTCCACCAAACTTCCTCTCGCAAAACTGGTACAAAAACTCACCAACAAGGCGAACCCCTCTCAACCGCCGGAAAAGTACGGCATAAAACTCAATGTTGGAAGAGTTCAGGGGCTGGGCGTTGTAGCGGCACTCCCCCCCCACGAAGGACGCCCCGAACACTGACCTAACTAATCGGTATGGCAAGCAGCCATTGAGCACTCCACCCCCTGGCTAGCCCTATCTCCACCTCCGTCCCCTGTCCCCACCCCCCTCCCTACCACCCCACTGGTCCTAACCCCATCTCCAAAATCGGTTAATATTGAGCACTACACTAAGACCAACACCGAAGGGCCTACTCTGTCCTACATGTACGCACATACATAAACCAATCAACCCATCGCAGGGAACCGCATACCACGACGACCATGTGGGTTGTCGCAACCTCTTTTCAAGCTCCGGCTTGCTGGTTTCCCGCACAGAGCGAGCGATCACGAGTGGCGGCAGCAGCAGGCATGACTTCGCTACACCAAGTGCCCCTTCCTTCTTTCCGCCTGGCTCTACAAGGAAAACCCGTGGTAAATAGGCCATAAAAATCGTCCCTTTTAAATGTACCGTGTTGACCTCTCTTTCTTGATATACGAGTGCATGGTTCTGACGGCGTCATAACGTAAACATGCGGAGACAGAGCATTCCGAGGTGGAAGCTCCCCCCCCGCCCCCCTTCCGTATCCTTGATCCTCTAGGCGAACCCATCTTGTACTACCGTAGATAACTACTCGTATGCTACGGGCGCCACCAGTTTCCCTTGCGACCACACGTCGACCGTGGAATTTCGCCCTCATATGAGGAGCTAGAATCAGACCTCCGCTTCAATCGTGCATGCAACCCTACAACACTTCCCCTATCGATGCCGCTTCCGGCAGGTTTACAATATAATTAGTTTTTCTAACTATACTTTCTCCACCCCAGGCTCAACCTAGCAGGGGCCTACCTCATGCGCTACGAAGGGACCTCGACATGAAGCAACGGAATCCCAGAATGACATCTACCAAATTTCTTCTTCATTAAGCAACGGTAACTTTCTTGAGAGGGACGACACTGGGGGGGGGCATACTTGTAGTGTACACATGATTGTCATTGTTGCTGTTGCTATTGTAGATACTGTTGTTGTTGGGTCGTTGTGCTTGTGCTTGTGCTTGTGATATTACGTCGACTACTAGGCCCGGCGGCTCCTTGGCCCGCCGAATCAGCACGTTCAAGCCTGGTCCTTGTGATGCCCGCCCCGTGTCGGAGAAAACCGGGGCTCGAGTTGTACGATGCGCTCCTTCTACGCCTACCCACAGGCTTGTGGCGATCTTGCCTGCCGCCGCCGCCGCCGCCGGCCTCCAGCCCTTTAGCAGACTACTTCGTTTCCCGCACTTCTCGTGCGGGGAACGGGGGTGGCCGCCTCCTTGACAAGGTCGGACGTTAACAGATCGTCGGGGGCAGCCGTGGAGGACTCGGTGGTCGTCTCCGCTGCCACTGCGTGCTGCAAGGTTGGTTGAAAGTAGGGCGCAGAAGGATGGAGGGCGACGTGGGTAACGGGGGGGGGGGGGGGGGGTACATTTGCGTAGTTTGGAAGGAGTTGAGCGTCGGGGGTGATCCCGCAACAAGCGAGAGTGGTCTGGGGATTAGGGGGCACTCAAGGTTGCGTCGCACTTCCATGGCAGGACCTGAGGAAGAATGTAATGTTCCAAAAGCAACAATAGCTCTCGAATAAGGAGGAAGACAGTGAGGGCCACGAATATTCCGATCGGGCCGTTGTGTTATGGATGAACGCTTGAGCGGGGCAAGACAAACGCGTACGCGGGAGGAGATTGGGTGGACGCGAAGCCCTAGTTGGTGTCTTGAGGGAGGGAAGGCACGGGGAGAGTATGAACACCACGCTGGCCGTAGAATCATACCGCAGACTCTCGTATCTCTACAAACACGCGACGGAGATTGTTGGGAGTTCGAGGATAAGGGCCGGGAGATGCGACGGGGGAATTGTCATGATGTTGCTGACAACATGCCGCGATAAAAACATTGCAGCCAATAAGCCAAGGATGTCACGAGAGCATGATTGCTATGCATAGGAGGGATAGAAGCAAAACACAATACTTGGTTAGTGACGCTCGGTTTGAAAAGGCAATGCTCTTATTCTCTCCGTGGGTCTTCCTGAACTTCTTTACACAACACCCCAATACGGAGTGGGAGATCCCTCGTACCTCAGGGTGGCTGTTCCCACGGTGGAGCAGCAACTCGCTCATGCTTCATGCAGTTAGGCAAGCAGATAGATACAAGCAGAGAGAAGAGAAGAGAGAGAGAGACAGAGAGAGAGACAGAGAGAGAGAGACAGAGAGAGAGACAGAGAGAGAGACAGAGAGAGACAGAGAGAGAGGAGAGACGGACAGACAGACAGACAAACAGACGAGAGAGGCAGAAGGAGCGACGAACGGAGAGAGACAATGCCGATCGCGGCCGGTGTTCGGACGTGCGACAGGCAACAGCGCGGGGGTAAAGAGGGCAAGGAGGAGGGAGGTGAGTTAGGTGCAAGGGGTAGGCGCTGGTTGGAGCTGACAGAGAACCCGGAGGGAAACAGAGGGGGGCAGAACCACGTCGAGGTAGTCAGAGAGAGAGGTTTAAATGTTTAGCGAAGGTGCGAAATGAGGGAAACTTTGAGTATTGTTCCACACAGGATACCCCCCTCCCTCCTTATCCGTACACCCACCCTAAACAGTGCAGAACCAGTGCAGATGTATTTATCGCTGTCCTATTAAGCGGTTACGACTACCAACACCGTAACGCCGTCAGAAAATGGGACGGTGTTCACTTTCGAAGGGTTTGTTGAATACACTACTTGATTCCAGGAATTATTGGGCGTGCGCAGGAAATATTTTCTTGGGTTCAACCAAGTGCGACACCTATCGCGTGTTGGGTATGGTTGTCAGGTGTTTACGTACGAGGAAAACATGAGGGGGATGAGTCAAAGCGCATAAGGATTTATGTTGTAGGGGTAAGCCATGACAACCTAAACGCGATCGTAGTCGACTAGCAGCCTGAACAATCATCTCCAGCAGTGTAGCGGAAGTCCGCACCGCGAAAGCCCGAACGGCGGACGCAATAGCACAAGCTTGACAAATAACAACTACCAATGTAAAGGAGATACAAGAGAATTTAGACGCGAGGGACAGCATAAATCCCGGGACGGCCGAATGAGAAGAAGGCTCTTACGTCTTCCCGGCGAAGGAGCAGTCGCCGACCCTGCAGTGGAAGTGCTCCCGCCAGAAGGAGCCGTCCTTGTTGACGAAGCGGCACGTCTTCGTGCGGCACTGGCCGAGCCGTTCGGTAACCTTCTCGAAGTCGTTCCTGGGTGGGTGATTAGAGTGGCAATATTGTTTTTGTTGTTATTCTTACTGTTCGATAAGCTGTGGGGTGCTACACATTGTGGTAACATTGTTGTTTTTTGCTATCATTCTTGCTCGGTAGGCGTGGTGGGTGCTACATTGTGGTCATACTGTTATTGTTGTTATTGTTGTTCGAAAATCTTGATGGGTGCTACCGTTGAAGTTGGTCGCGGTGTGACAGCTCGTTCTCGCGACTTGGTTGACCGACCGGCCGACACGCCCGTGCACTCGCTACCTACAGTGCTCTGCACACGGCCGAGATGCTCTGTGCCAAGCATCGGGTAAAAACCACGCGCCTCACCTCTTCATGATGACGCCCGCGGCGGCTGTCTTGTGTCCGTGCTCGTCCCTATCTCGTTTGCGGTCCCGGTAAGGTCAACAGCGCGACAGAAGCGTTAATACACAGGCAACGGCAAGGTGAACTCACGAGGCTCCGCAAAGCGGAGGGCCAAATAAACACTGCACAGGAGAAACAGGACGAAGATTAAGGCATCCTCGACAGATTTACTTTAATAGCAAAGTTAGTTTGAATTCTTTCAGAGCACATAAATAAGCACGCCCCGAACCGATCACAAGAGAGTAGAGCACGCCACGCCCAAGAGGGCCAACACCATACGCCTCTACGGGTGAAGAAGAGCAGCATGTCACACCTCCTGGAACAAAGCCAAGTGCTTCCATGCTTACTCCTTCGCCACATGGACAGTTAGGTCTCCCAGAAACCCTTCCCTTCAGAAGAGCCGACAAGCCCATACAAAAATATGTCGCAAGGAATGTTCTAGGAACGTCGTCCAACTTTTGCCTTAGGGTTAGGGTAACGATTGAGGCCAGCCCGGGCCACGATCCGACCAAAACGAGGGACAGGCTCGAGCTGCGAGCGACAACGCTGTACTGCATGATAGAGCTGCCAGAGAGCAAGACACACACCGACACACGAACCGGCGTAGCACTTTTCCTGATTTCGGGAAGTGAGAGAGTACCAAAAAGTCTCCTTCCTTCAGCAAGAAGTCAGTCCAACGGCGGAGTGAAAAAATCCCGTGAAAATACGCGAAAAAAAGAGCACAAAAAATGGAGCCTTGCACCGGAAGCCCTTGGCGACCTAGCTAGGCCACGATCCAAGCAGTGAGCAAAAGAGGGAGACTGTCGGAGGGCACGAAACCTTCTCATCCGCGTTTTTTTGTCACCTGGGTCCCGAGCGACGGCAGATCCCGAAGATACACGCCTCTCCCGCCCTCTTGCAAGGCGTGCAGGCCTTGAACCCTCCGGTAGGGTTGCTTCCGTCGCATCGCACCTACCGTCGTGGTTGGCAACAAAACACAAAGTTAATTGAGCGTGGGAAGAACGGATGAAGAAGAAATAACAAGATGAAGAGTGCGTACGAGAGTGCGCAAGAAATTCTAGAACGTGTTGATTTGATCAGATTCAAATCGACGGCTGGACACGGCGCGGGGAGGTTCGGTTCGGTTTGTTTGGTTTTCGATTGGAGACGTTTTCGAGAAAAGAAAGCGCGTAGGCAAGGGAACAGAGCTCAGGAAATTAAGAATCGAGTAAGTGTCGTGACTTAGGTTCCGGAAATTTGGGAACATAAGGCTTCAGGAAAGGTTCGCCGATGTCGCTTTCGTGTGACGACAAGCGGCTCGCTGACTGACCCTACCACACACAGTCACCCCCAAGCAAGAAATCCCCGACCCCTTGCTACTACCGCTGCCCACCTGTCGCGAACCAAACGTCGTACAGAACGTCCACGACAAACAATCGTCTTACATACCGTTCGATCAATACCTCCTAGAGAACACTAAGAATGGCGGCAGACGAACACGAACGCACCTTCTTGTCTGTGCAGCGGTCGCACGCCTTCCTGAACTGAGACCACACGAGGTTCTTGCTCTTCTTCCGGGGAGAGGGCCGACCGGAGGCAGCCGTGGCGACACCTGAACGGGGAAAGTCGGCGACCGGGGAGGGAGGGTTCTCGCTTCGCTGCCATCATTGTGCGGTTTGGTAGGGATTTTCTGGTTTGGCGTTCCTTCTTTCGAGAGAACTATCATGTGACTGCCACGATTGGCCTGAGGCGCCTGGACAATATGAAAATCTTACTACCGCCGGTCAGGATTGTGATCTCACCCAATGTTGCTCGCGGTCATTTCAATTTGCGTGACTACCTCTACAACCAATTTTCCTCTGAGATGGTATTGACCGTCGAGAAAAAGCTACGTAGATGGGGGGTGGATTCCATCAAATACTTGTATTACCTCTGTTCCTTGCCGGGGCCGCGACGTCGAAAGCCTCACCGGTACCTTCCATGTTCAAGTCCATCGCCAAAGGTCGCCGGCTCCCCGCGACCTAGTACATGGAAGGCACAAAGGTCGTTTGGGGGTGAAAACCTCTAGGGAAAGGCTCCGTTCGCTGGTTTGAGAACCGGTGATCTTGCTTTGTTTCGAATCAGATTCATCATCGGAAGAGGAAGATACGTGGCTTGGGAATGTACGACATGTGCACGGTAAGGGTTGAAGGTTGGGGCCAGCACGGAGCAAAAGAGTTTTCTCATCCTTCCATTGGGTGTATGGTTACCTACCGAGGCTATCACGTGGGGGTAAAAGCTCAATGCGTCGGAACGAAACCTACGCCGTCTACTGGCCAAGGTGGACACCTTTCACACGTCTGCTGCACCTTAGAGTTTCCATTTTTGGACACCTTTCGAGTGCCGACGGCCCGTCGCCTCTTCAAAGGTCGAGGTTCGCCGCTTCCAAGCGCCGCCGCGGCCTCCTTGGCCCCATCGCGTTCGTTTCTCCATTGCCCACCGCAGGCGGCGGCCCCAGTGGCGAGAGCAGGCTCTACCTCCTCTCGTTTCTGGACCTCTTGCTCGGTGGTGGCATCGACTTGTTGATCGGCGGCGATACCCGGTATCTTCAGGGGCCACGGTGACCGGCCGTGCTCGCGTACCCTCGATGGCTGCTGCCGTTGGTACGAGCCGGCACCATCGGGGAAAGACTCTGCGTGGTCTCCTCGACGAGCGACGATTCGTCCATCGTAGCCGCTGGCGCTGCCAGTGTCCCTTCCGCGGCCTCTTTTGCCGTTCGACGCTGGTGTACCACCGGCCTTGCAACCGGCACCCGGGCTGTCGGGAACCCACCGCTTGCTCCAGCCACTGCCGCGGCTTGGGCCGATGGGAAACGCGCTCTGCCCTCGGCCTGCTGTTTCCCACGTGTTAGTGCGGTAGCCGTTCGGCTTCTTCCTCCCGGCTGCTCTCGGCGGCGACGGGGATCTCAGCGGGCTGCGCATGCGCATGGGCACTGGGGCTGTCATAGTTGCTTCGTCCCGCCGCCACGCTGACTGAACCCGCAACAGGTCGCCGCCCCTCGTGTAGGTAGAAGCTACCCTTCGCCCTTCACCACGATCGTCACCGTACTGGTGGCCACCGCCGCCGCTGCCGCCACCGCCCACCTGAGGTGATGTTAGGGGCGATGCAGCGTAGCGGCTCCGGTAAGAACCGTCGTCGACACCGTCGCCCGGAAATTCATGGCTGTGCTTCGAGAAGGATTGTTGACCTGCTGTTCCTTCGGACATGACGACTGAACCAAACTCGTCGCCACTGCAGGGGACATTCCTCGCCCACCGCTCCCCTCTAGGGGAGACAGCTGGTGACGACGGCAAAGGGCCGTTCGCAGAGAAGGGAGCGAGAGAGGACGAAGTCAAAGGCGCTCGAGCTCGACTCGACGTAACCCAGCCACCGCTTGTCCTTCCACAGTTGCTATCGTCTTCGTCAAGTTTTGAGACAGGGTATTCTCCCTCTCCTCCCCCTCTTCCTCCTCCTTCACCACCTCCTCCTCCTCCTCCCTCTCCTCCTTCCCCTCGACCACCACCACCTCTAGCCCAGCGGCTGTCAACGCCAGCCCACCTTTCGCCACTGCCATCACCACCTCCGCTGGCAACGCCGAAGTAGGAGCTGCTGGTGTAGGCGGGGATCATACCGAGAGCTGGGTGCGATGACGCCCGCCACCCTTCTCGAACGCTGGAAGTATTGGATACGGAAGCACTGTACACGGCGAAGGAAGCTTGTGCGGTGGTGGTGCCCCTTGGCGTACTGTTTCCGGTCCCTTGGTGCATTGCGCCTGCTACAGCACCTGTTGCCGATGGTGATGATGAAGATGGTGGTGATGACAGTTCGGCAACCGACAAGCTGCTCGCAGAAACACCTGTTACAGTTGCGTTGTGAATCATTTTTCTTTAACCCGAGACCTAGCCTATATCGCGACCAAGTTGTGAAGCGAAAGAATCGTCGACGCTGACGGGTAGTGGCGGTACGGGGCATCTGAAGTGCGGCGATGGAGGTTCATGGAAGGTCGGTCGCCTGCGTTGGTACAGTTCAGTGGAGAAAGTATCGGTAACCCATGCATGATCCCGCGCCTCGGTGTAGCCCTTTGCGTTTCGGCGAAACTCGCTGAGCACATAGTCTACAGATCGCTCTTCACGCCAAGAAAAATACGGTATGCAGCTTAGAGCACGTATCTCGCAAGTTGTATTGAGGGACGACGGGTGAGGCCGTTCCCCCGCGCTCGATGCCTTCATTCTATGCATACGGAATGGGCATAAATGCTGAGCACACCCTGTGGTATCATTCTCAAGAATCCGACTTTTTCCAAACTATCGTTTGATTTTCGGCCCTTCGCCGATACTGAAAAGTCTGGGAGGGGCCTCGAAAATGGTAAGAGCTTACGCTCGCTACAGGCAGTACACGCATCGCCTTTCCACCGAATCTCCCAGCTTACCCAACGTTGCAAAACGCAGGATGGTAGTTTGAACATCTGTTCAACGCACGTACGCATATGCATACGAGCAGGCGAAGGAGAAACCCCTCGGGAAAATACGAAGGGGGCGAAAAACCATGACTTGACCGAACTCACCGTCTCCGGCCTGCCCGGACGCCGCGGGACGCCTTCTTCGCGAAGGAGGCGAAGCCGCAAGCAATAGGAGCGCCATTGCGCTGACGGCCTGACTATCGTTACCACTATCTCCGGCCATGCAGCCCGTGTGGCTTCGAAAATTGCCGTTGGCATGATCGGTCAGTCGGGTGATGTTGCCGGACGTCTTCGCGCTGCTGCTCACGTCGTCTTGTGCCGTCGGAAAGCGCCTGGCAACGGCAACCTGATCGTCATCGTCGTCTCTTTCTATACCGAAGCCAGGAGGTGATTCGGACACCGAGCGCTCGTCGTGTCGACCTCTTGCCGCCAACTTTGCTGATGAACCCGCTGTGTTGCTGGACGAGAAGCTCCCCGCCGGTCCTCGATCATCATCGTCATGGCGGCATCTCGAAAGCGCTGCGCTGCCTAGATGAACTGGAATGTCGCAAGAGGCCATTTCCAATAAATTCTTCTGCTACCTCTGTCGCCAGACGTGGTACTGTCGTTTGTATTCTCTGCAATATCACCGGCGGTGTCCGCTTGCTAGGTTCCCGGGTGGCTGTGCCCAAAAATTAAATTTGGTTGCTGAACAAACATGTGCATGTGCTACGGTGCGCGGCACAACTTACAGAACCTCCCGAACCGTTTTGTTTTTCGACGGCGAACCCATGCGGACAGGCAAACTTGAAAACCTGTTGACTGCTGTTGACCTGATGACCTGATGGATGGTGGTTCCGAGTTCCGCGTAGAGCCAACTCGTAGGTATGCGTATCCGGTATCCCGTCTAAAAGAGATATGCTCGAATCCTAGCGACGGCTGCGAGAGATTTATTTTGTTGCGGTCTTTGTTTTCGAAACAGTATCACTACACTACTGCTCTAAATGTCTGGATGCATGCAGCAGTCTTGCTGAACAGGGCGTTAAGAAAAAAAAAATGGTGACAAATTTTTCCGAAGAAAAAAAAAAGAAAGGGAGCCAGCTGTGTGGGTTGCGTGGCGCAGGAATCATCACGCTCTCCACACGCCTGCTTGTGGGGCGGTGGTGCTGCTACTGTCCCACCGACACTCTCAACACGGATCACAGCTCTAAAAGGCACAGGGGCGACCATCACCGGTCGGGCAGTTGACTTCCTCTTTTCACCCGAAGCGGCCGAATACACGGCGTGCCGAGTTTTTTGCGGGCGGCTGCCTTTCCAACGACACAGCAGCAGCAGCAGCACAGCAGCAGCAGCAGGCATGTTGGGCACGTCCGAGCTCGCGGAGGGATGGGACACCCACACCACAGAGCAGGGGGTGGCCTACTACCATAACAGGGTGACTGGAGAAACGACCTGGCAGCGCCCGGATGGCCACACAAGGTGCGAAAAACACCCTGCTCCATAGGGCGGGGTTATTAGCAGAGGCCTTCGTGTAGACTACAACACAGCAACAGCAGCAGCAGCAGCAGCAGCAGCAGCAGCAGCAGCAGGGGTACAACCAAGAAAAGGCGCCGTATGTTGCTGCTGCTGCTGCTGCTGCTGCTGCTGCTGCTGCTGCGTCTATGTAGTGAGGAACCAGAACACACTCGCGCTTGGCGAGCATCCATGTTCCGTACGGGGAATACAAGACCTGCCTGCCCGCTGTTGTGTGACGGATTACACGGAGTAGGCAGGTCGACCTCTGTGTTGCGGGAAGAGTCCACCCAGAGTTTCGGAACTGCTGTACCGTTAACTGCTGTGCGGGCCAGGGCGCACCGGTGCAGATGGTTTTACACCCCTGGCACCGGCGTGCGCAAAAACAACACAAGAGAACCAAGAACGGCGTGATTTCTCGCGCTGGGCACGCTGCTGTTTGTTTCACTCCGCTGCGGTAGACAACCACGTGCACATTATACCGACATGACCACACGCTTCGGGCATACCACCGTGGTGTGATTTGTGTGCCATCGCAAGCGGCCGCGGACTGAGGTGTGTAGTCGTAGCATCGCTACGATCTGGTCGCCACATGGGTCTTGCAACCTACGTAGATTTAACGATAAAGTTTAACCTCTTGTGAGCTGCTGTTCCACATTCATTCGCTGGTGCCACTGGCTTTATTTCAACGTACAACAGCACTATTATACACTGCTGTAGATCGCTGGTCCTACGTATGGCGACTTCCAACAGCGCCTCTTCTCGTCTACGCCCGGCCGCGGGCGCAGTCTGAGCGCCTGAGCGCTTGCACCCTCACTCAGCTAGCGTGTTGCTTCTTATGATCGTGCACTCTAGCCTCTGCTTCGTGGTGTTGTTTTCAGACCCAAAATCAGTTCGTTCAACGGGAGTTTGTAGGTTCGGCGCAGCAGACAGCATTTATCGATTAATTGATTTGTGTGGTACAAACGTACCAACCCTTTGAGAGACGTTCGGGCATGTCATCTTGCGTCACCCTCCGGAGGCTTGACACCAACGTCCCCAAGCTCAAGATATTTTGTCGAATATCCCCTGTGATGTTTGGCAGTCATCCCGCATGTTAACTACTAAAAATACGTACCCGTCCGCGCGACTATTCCTACGATCCGCTCTCTCTTGCGCGTACCACCTACGAATACAATTTCGGTGCTCTTGCCTTACTGCTGCTGTCTCTCTCGTGGGCGCTCTATGTTTGCACGTTGGCGCTCCATGTCGGCACGTGTCTACTTTTGTCTGCAGCGTCTGCACGTCTGCAGGTTGGCGCTCCATGTCGCCGCGTTACTAATTCCACCCAGAAACGTGCAGACACTACACAGACATACGTGGAAACGTGCACATATTAAGCGCCGACGCTCACACATGGGAGCCCTCTAGATGCCTTGAGTATTTGGAGTAGGGTGGGCAGGGTTGTTCGGACGGGCGGGCTTTTGCGTTGGAATCGAGGTTTGTTTTTTCGCCTCGGATTTTTTTGGAGTGGGACTCTGCTGCTGATGCCATGATGCAGGTGCCGAATTTCTAGAGCCAACCCCGTTCTGTACCTGGGGTTAAAACACCGGGGGGTTAACACTAGGGACAATCTCCCAATGACCCGGTGGAAAACCTGAGAAATCTCCTTGACGAGGTTGTTGTGCAGACGCTCGTGTTCGGCGCCCTCAGCACACGGCTTGTGGATTGTTTTGTTAGTTGCACCCCGTTATATTTTGGTTCGTTCTACTTTCAGCACGAGCAAATTGTTATTTATTGGTGTTGAAGCGGGGGGTCCCCGCGGATCGTTTGTGCCTGAAAACACTCCCGATTTTGCTATATATGTACATACGGTTCGAACCTTAGGGGATGGGAGGGGGGGGGGGGTCCAAGAACCCTCCCAGGAGAGGCGGCGCGATTGCTGAAAGGTCCACGTCCAACCCCGAAACGCCATCATGGTTTCCAATCCGTTTAGGATTGGTTTCAGCTACGGAAAAAAAACCCAAGGAAAGCTGACCGGAGAAAATTGACCGGGAAAAAAGTGACCGGACGAAATTTCTCTCGGCTCGCGAAAGCTACGAGCATGAGATCGCGGCGGTGCCTTCGCGAGACCTACCCCTCGAGGGCTCTGTTCAAGGAATTTCAATCGAAGCGACACCTGCGCCAAAACCAAAGCATTTTGTCTCGCTCAAAATCCCTTTAACTTGTTTTTAGTGGGGACGCCTGTTTGCTCTGCTTCCCCGCGGCTGAATTCTTTGAGCTCAACAACGCCACAAAACCGCCACGACGACGACGTCCGCGGCCATGCCTGCCCACACCCCAGCCCTCGCCAGCACGGCGAACGTTTCAACTCGCGTCGCACGCAGCGCAGCGAAAAAAGTACAACACCCCCCCCCCAAATCAGAGGCGCTGAGGCGCCCCTTGAGTATCCCCTTGCAAGTTTTCGCAAAGGCGTAAACTCCACAACCGAGCAAGATGCAGCAGCCCCATGCTGGCCGCGGCTCGATGCGCTAGGACGAGATAGGCGTGCTGCGCAAGTCTCGGCGAGGACGGTGGGGAGGGGAGCGAACAAGGCAACGAACACCGTTCCGGCTGATTTGCGAGTCGAGTTGCGCTGCGCTGCGCTGCCCAGCACCCGAAATTTTCGCCGCATCGATAATTCCGCATCCTGCTCACGAAAAGTCCACGAAACTCGGACAGCCAACGCAAACGCTGTCCACACATGTGCGTGCCAATTTACAAACGCCATCCGACCTGCACGCCGCCCGCGACAGCTTTACGTCATCCCTACCCTGACCTCTCGCTGCACAAAACAACACCCCGCAAGAATTCGCAATTTCTCAACACATACTCCGCCCCTCGACAAAAATCTTTCATCTATGTGGAGCTAGAACTACACTTCGTTCGATACTCACCCCTTGGTACATCCCGTAGCTCGGATCACGAGGTACAAACAAGGTTTGTGCTAAGGGGAGACACAAAATGCAACGCATGGACCACGGGGGTACACATTTCCCGTCACATGCCCCCTCCGGCCCCGTGCTGGTGGTCCACCTGCTGCGTCCCTGCATAGCTCCATCGCAAAACGCTGCACCGGGCCTTTCGGCATCATTTCGCTGCCAATTTTGCAAAGTAAGCATCTCCCGACCACGAGCATCGAAAGGGCTGCCTGCGCATCTCTTCCAGTGGGGTGATGCTTGTAACCGACGAAACCATACGCGCCAAACTACACCCTGATGACCAAGCTTGATTTTTTTATTTCCGCTTCCTCTCCCTTTTTTCCTCCGCGTTTCACCCGCCAGAGGCATTTCGTGCCCTTGTGCCCACCTCTTTCGCGAAACGCTGCAACTACTGTTGCACCCCCATTCCGCTGCCAGCCGGGAAAGTAAGCAGCTCCCGAAAACGAGCATCGAAAGGTCGACCTGTGCATGCCCGCATCTTTGGCTATCGACGACTGCTGTGGAGGTCAAAACCTGTGTTTCAAATGTACCTGCGAGCAGCCCTCTTTTTTGCCTCCTCTCTGCAACTTTTTTTTCACTTCAACCGTCCGAGGGGCAAGTCATGCCCATGGCGTCCCCCTCCCACAAGCAATCATCTTGTGATACAGCAGTGGTCCCTGTATCGAATTCTTACGTAGAGATTCGACCGTGCTTTATACAGCTCTAGCGTACCTGTGTGTGTCACACTCCTTACTTTTGTTGTGTGTCGGGTATGTATTTGTGATAAGTCTCCAATTGACTGTACTCTGTTCTCAAGTAATTGTATGCATAGCACACCAAAACTTTTTTTGGTCTCTGTGCTGTCGATGAACCCCTCAAAGAATTCCAGATTTAAATCCATGCCATTCTCCACATGATGATGACCGCTCGCCCTTGTGCTGATGCATGCACGCATGCACTCGACTGCCGGTGTACTACAGCAGTACCACTGTACTCACTACTACTACTGTGCTGTACATCACCAAGCATACATGTACATACATGTACGTATCATACATACATTACATGTAGTCTTCTACTAAATCGGTTTTTTGTTTATTTTATTTTTTCGAAGTATGACCCAACAAATCTATTGCATGCATACAGCAGCAGTATTATTATTAATGTCATTATTATTATTATTATTATTTTCTCCCATCATTGGACTCTGTCGTCTGCCCCTCTGGCCCCGATCCTCCACTTCTACTAGCTAGTATGTACGTACAGGAACATCTACCAGCACCTCTACAGCCAGCTCCAACGCGGACATGCTGTTGTAATATGCATGCAGAAGAAGATAGATTCATCCGGTGTAGACTACCATTCCTACTACTACTACTGCTGTATACAGGATGCACGCCTTTGTATGTTTGTTAGATCCATCCGCAGCCACATACTACGTACCACAGCATTCCTTTGACACTATACTGCTGTCATGTAGGTATACTACAACTACAAGTACCACTTTGTCCAAGGCACTTATTGCGTGTCTCGCCAGCCTCCATAGGGAAAACGAGGCGATCACTTCTACAGCAGCAGCAGTGTGTATAGTGTTGAACAAGTGTAGACCACATAACTTGCTAACAGCAGAGCTGCATAGCGGATAGATAGGTAGGCGTTGTGAAGAAGAAGCACAGCCGGTCATCGCTCGCTCCAAAACGCACCTTCTTGCATGGCTGTCCTCGTTAACGGTTTTTCATGTCGGAATCATTTCCCGAAACCACGGTACAATACAGTAATTTTTGGGCGGTAACTGGCCACTACGATAAATTCCGTACGGTAACTCGTCACCACACGGTAATTTTATTGTACGGCAACCAGCCACCACGGTAATGCACAGGAATGTGCGTGTTTTTACGGTAACTGGTCACCACGCACGGTAATTTTCTTGTACGGTAACCAGTCCCCACAGCAGCAGTAGTGCACAGAAATCTATGGTTTCTTTGTTACCGTAACTGACTGGTCACCACGCACGGTAGTATAGCTTGCACAGTTACCCACACCACCATGGCACGTCGGGCCCTGTTTCGTTTGCTTGCCTTCAAGTGTTCCTTAAGGGTGTGGTCGCCGCACACCAAACGTGCGCGACACATTCATTCACCGAGCATCACGTCCGTCCGTCAACCAAACCGGTGGCATAAAAAGAAGGGTGAAAATCAGACAGCATGTCATGTATCCACTTCATTGCACAGACAGGCTCTCGTGGCCTCAAGACGACGATGACGTAACTAGTCGATCATGCGCCAAGTAATAATATGTCATCAATACGACAGGCAACAAGCAAGCGCCGCCTTCCTCATCCACAGAGCAACGGTGGAATTATTCAACGGTTCAACAAACAATGGTGTTTCTGTGCGGTACTGTAGATGGGATTGTGTTGCTCTTACGGTAACATACTCCGCGGTATACCTCGAAAGCACGGGAATTCCGATTTTTCCGTGGTAATTTTTTGTACGGTAATGGGGCACTTCCATTTGTTCGTTAACGGTTTGGGCGTTAACGGTAAAAACACGGAAACCATTTGGATGGGAACGGTAATTCTCATTTTTCACGGGATCACGGGAGACGGTAATTAATAAATACAGTGTTTTTTTTACTGCGGTATAATTACCGCGGAGGAATTAACGAGGACAGCCCTGCCTTTTTATCATCCACAACCACCAGACAGACAGGCGCTAACCAGCGCACAACAAGAAGAAAGGCTAGCAAACTACGACTGGCGTAGTAGGCATACTGTACATCCATCCGCTGTGTGACATGATGATATGTACAACATTGTTTAATTAGTAGAACAAGAACGAGGACTCCGCGACAGAGAAAGAGAGATAACGTTTGCTCCCATTTGTCCCGTTAGGATTTATTTTTCGTGTTTTTTCGTCACACCGTCACGCACGAAATCCAATTCTTTCAAAGGATCCAAGGAAAGCGGACCACGGGTTGGAGGCAGCTCTGCAAGAGCAGGGCAATTTATCACACATATAGGGGAACCCGTTGTCGTGCACTTGAACTGGAATGTTGGCTTTCATTTGTTTTGGAGCTCAAGCTTGAACCTTGACCTTTCGCCTGCGGCTCTCGCAATTACTTTTTTTTTTTGTTTACAGTCCCGGCGGCACGGAAGCCGAGACGACTCTCAAGAATGCTGGCGGCAGCGGTGCTGCTGCTGCTGCTGCTGCTGCTGCTGCTACCGCTGCCTCTTCCGCTGGCACGGCACCTTCCGGCGAGACCGACACCATGTAAGCCAGATGGCGCGCCCCCTCTTCAGGCGCTTCCTTGTTGTTCCCGATGTACATAATCCCTGTTGTGTCTGCTGTTGCTCTGCGTCAAGCTGCGCGCAGGGAGCAGAGCACCATACAGCCCCGCCCGCCCCCATGCGGCGCGCGCGCGGCCATCCGAGACTCGCTTGTATTGCGGACGAGAGCCTCGTGATAGGGGCACGCACGTTGCTCGGTTTGACTCTTTTTGTTTGTCGTTCTTTTGGCGGACCCTCCGCTCGTCGTTTTCCATACACTCGGCACTCGTGTGTCTTGCTTTCTGTTGTTCACTCTCCTATCTGACTACTGTTTTTCACGCCTGCTTTTCCTTTTCCTCCCCTCTCCATTCGTCTCTGCACCCGTGAACAACCGGGGGGGGGGGGGGGGGTGTCACCGCTTGCTGTGTACGATATTTAGCGGCGGGTGGGAGGCAGTCTGGTCCGACCAGCATCAAATGTACTACTACTGCAACCGCGCCACCGGGGAGGCGCAATGGGTAAGAGCACCGGCGGGTTGATGAGCGTACCGTTTAGGTGACACAAGATACCACACCCTCTGGACCGATTTTCGAAGCTCTTTGGTTCTAGTAGCGACCTTCCCACTAGCGCTTGTCAAATGATTGTAGCGAGCTGTCCAACAGCACACGGTACTATTGGGCGAGCGTACGGTCAAGTGAGCAGCAACGCGGCGTCTTCTTCAAGACTGGCGCCTACCCAGCAGGTGTCGCTCTTTTCTCCACTTTGCTTACAACCGGGCGGCGCCCTTACCTCCTTGTCCCAGGAAAACCCCGCACCCCAGCAAACCACCAGCGATCGCGGGCCTCCACCCCCGTACTCGCCGACGCTGGAAGCGCAGCAGCACGGCAAAAGTTTCGCCTACAACGGCAACACCAGCGGCGCAGCCGCCGCCGCCGCCGCCGCCACCGCCGCGGGTAGCCCGCCTCCTTACTCCTGGGGAGCCAGCCAAGAGTCTCCCGCCGCCACCGCCGCTGCCATCGCTATGGCTGGTGCGGGCGCAGAACCACGGGCGGCGGCACCGGCGGCGGCACCAGCACCGGTGGCGGCGGCGGCGGCGGCGGCGGCGGGAGCGACGAGAGTGGTGGTATCGGAGCGGCCGCCCTCCACGGAGAAGGAGGGCTCCGCGCTGCGGGACGCCCTCCGCAGGAGGCAGGAGTCGTTCCGGCGGCTGGAGGACGTGCGGGCGGGGGCGCGCGCGCGACTGGCGGCGCTCAAGGCTGAGACCGAGGCCCGACGGGCGGCGAAGTCGGCGCTCAAGGCGAAGGGGGACGACGGCGTCAAGGTCCCGCCCGCGCCGAGCATGGACGCGCCGAAGGCGGCGGCGGCTGACGACGGGGGCGGGGGCAACGTCAACCCCGCCACGGGGTCTTCGAGGATAGCGATTGCCTCGGTGAGCTCGTCCGTGGGATCCGCTTCTGATTGGTCCGCTTCTCTGGTCGAAGACGGTACCGGTAGCGCCGCTTCGTTCGTTTCGTCTTCTTCGGGACTGGGAAGCAGCAGCGGTGCTATTGCTGCCGAGCAAGGAGGAGGAGGAGGAGGAGCCTCGCCGTTGTACGCCGCTGGATTTTCGCCGCTGGCGCCGACTGTGACCCCGCCGTCGCCGGTGGGCTTTCCTCCGCCAACGGCGGCGGCGGCAGCGCGGGCTTCCCGAGGAGAAACCGAAGCGGCTCGAGGCGAAGCGCCGGCCTCGGACTCAAGGAACGGCGACAATTCTCCGGGAAGAGCGCTTCCTGGAGAGGAGGGCGGCGGCGGCCACCTGACCGGTGGCGGCGGCCACGACACTGGCAGCGGCGCAAGACTCGCCCGACCCACCAACAAGAGGCGGCAGGTGCCGGCCCGGAAAGCCGAGACTCAGGAGGCTATC